ACTGTTTTAGAGGGAACAAGTTTTTTTACTTCATATATTTTTGTATCAGTGCTGTCTGCTCTGTAGTTAAACTCTTCAAACTTAAATCATGTTTATGGAGTCTATAAAGATATTTTTCATGCTAGTTCTCAGTGCTAATTTTTTAGCTGTTAGCTGTAAGGTAAGCTAGTTCATGGCTACAAGAGTCTGGTTTAGTTGAAACAACAATACACACACAGCTTTTGGTGAGTAAAGGGATGAAGTTTGATGCTGAACTCAAAGAGTTAATTCTAACATTGGCAATTCTAACATATAGCACCTTTAAGTGTTGATCTTTCAATATCAGTTTATATGTTCACAATATACACTCAGTTTTCAGTTGTAAGGTTGAGTTTTTATTGACACTGTGAGGTGTCACAGAGAGGTGTTGATTCACCTTTGTGGAGGATGTTCTCTGTGCTGCTGCTGGTGTTTCTGTTATTTAGCCTCCCCTCATTGATTTGAATGAGGTAGAAAAAATAATAGGCCTGGTTCAGACCTGGTATTAACATGCATCTTCAGTGATCTGATAACAAAAACGTCCAATCACACCTGCTTTAAAATATGTCTCCAGTGACCACTTTTGATTGGATCTCACTTCCCTGCTTTATATACAAATAAGCAGGTATGTGTTGTTGTTTTTAGCCAATCTGTAGACAGGTCCATCGTCAATCTGCTTGTGTGTGTGTGTGTGTGTGAGTGAGAGAGAGAGGGAGAGAGAGTGGGCGAGAGAGAGAGAGCGAGAGCGAGAGCGAGAGGGGCATGGAGGGGTTGCACACAGGTCTTATAATGAAATCAGGTTTTATCCATTTGAAATAGCAAAATATTTTCCATTCATTATAAACTGTTTTGGGACTAATCAGACTGAGACACAAGACGTCAATGGAGTATGCGGTTCTTCAATGTGGCCCAGGACGGATTCATTCAGGATCTGAAGTTATCAGAGAAACAAGCTGAGGAAATGTTAGACAGCTCAGCTCCCAGCTGCTGGAGACGTCCTGTCCTGTGTCACTGAAGAGCGGCGCTGAATCTCTGATTTTTAAAGTCAAACTGGTTTATTCAGTGTTTCTACTGGTTTTAATCCCCTGGTGTGTTTGTTATGGAGAGGAGGACACCTCTGTGGAGAATTCAGCTGCTGGTAAAAACCTGCTGAACGTCTGGTTCATAAGTTATCAGAGAAACAATCAGAACAAAGGTTAGCATCAATCTCAGCTCCAGCTCTTCCCTGAGTCTCTGTCCTCCGTACAGCGTCGCTCAAACACTGACTTTTAATGTCAAACTGTTTTATTCAGTGTTTTTAACGGTTAGAATCACTGGGTCTGTTTGATTTCCTGAACCACTGACACTGAAGGAATCCAAACAGGGAGAATTTTATGTTAATGGTGGTGAAGACAACAACTCCCATGATCCCACGCTATTTCCCGTTATGAGAAAGTGTTCAAGTGATGTTGGTGTAGATTAATAGCTGAATATTGCAGCTATTTTACGTGCAGTCATTGGGAATTTATCCCAGTCAGTGAGTGGTGATGAGTTTTCAGTCTGCAGCAGATATTTTGCTCTACTGTTCATACTGCAATAGATTCACTGTGATGAGTCAGGAGCAGGTGAACACAGGAAAGAGACGGCAAAGCTCTTTGATCCTTATACAGGCAGCTAAATGAGAAAGTGATATAATGGAAGATCAAGGGACTTTGAAGTCAAGAATCTGTTGTGTTCTGTATGGAGGACTGAAACTACGAAAATCAAAAGTAAATAAATGACTCAATTAATAAATTAATATGCCATTAAATGTGCCAAAAATAATGTTAAAATAAATATATACATTAATTAAGTAATAAAATATGACATAAAGTGATGTTTCAGTTTTAATTTGCCTCTGTATTTATTTATCTTTGTATTATTTCCCCTATTTTCCCATTTTATTTATTTCTTTACTTATTTATTATTTATGTATTTATCCACTTATTCACACTCACACTCATTCTATTCTGATTATTGTTTTGCTCGATTTCAGGGTATCACAGTATTCGCAACACTTTATGTCATCAGTGGGTGCCAAGGTGTGCCGTGTTTCGTTCTTGTGACGTTGTGATGCGAGCTCCAGTTGCTTCTTAAAAGACTATTAGAAAAAAAACAGCACCGGGGAGAACACAGTTGCCAAACAGAGATGGAGTCCTGTCTATTTAAGAGTGCAACATATCCATCATCTACGGCACAGAGAAAGTAGGCCACGACAACGCTGTGTGTTTTGTAGTCATGTTTTCATGGTCACATGAGAGAAGCCCCAGAAATATTTTTCTGCCACTGCAGCGGCCGGCGCTCTGACACTGTCCACTGTGTATATCGTTAACTTCTCTTCTGCTTGTTATTGTTTCATTTAAGTCATCCTCAAGATTAGGGATGGGAAATGATAAGATTTTATTGATACCAATGCCATTATCAATTTTGCTTATCGATGCGATTCTTTATCGATTCCCTTATCGCTTCCTGTGGATTTTCTGTCTGGAAAAAAGTAGGCCTATACAGGTTTAGTCAACACGAGACAAATTTTATTATGAGTCTCTGAACACTGAACAATATAGATAAGTGCTCTGTAGTTGTTCAATCCCTCGATGAGGGGCTGCTGTCTGCCTTGTATTAATTGACAAAAAAAGAAGAAAAAAAACCAAAACATCACTTCACGTTCACTTGAAAGAGCCGGCTTGTTCGCAATGGACACATCACTAATACGGCCCTTCACTGCTCTGCTGAAACTGGGAAGTACTAGTTGACTTTAAATTGACTGAAATTACTTTTATAGCAAAAGGAAAATTTCTCCAGGAGGAAAATTTCTCCAATATTCAGTGGGACAAAGTATGGCTTCTACCTTACAAATATGTTATTCCAAATAAACTAAAAGAAGTTCAATACAAAATTATACATACTCCCCCACTAACAAATATGTTTCAAGATGTGTTAATATTGATAAAAAATGTGAGATTTGTAAGGGGGAAGACGAGTCAAATAATCTATTCTTTGAATGTCAGGACACGTCAGGATTCTGGAGGAAAATGGAAGATTATTTTGACACTCAAACCAACTATTCTATAAGATTAGATGCCAAAGCTATATTATTATTATATTATGTTAATAAAATAAAGAAGGTGCAGTGAGTTGTTAACTTAATGATCTTTCTAGAGAAGTTTCACATTCATGCGGCCAAGTTCTCAAGGTCTTGCCCATCGTTTGAGCCCTTCAGGATGGAAATTAAGAAATACTCTGAGTGTATCCAAATTATAATGATAAGAAATGTGCTGATACAGTAAGTGCTTTAAAAGAGTTCTACAAAGAAATTTGATTACTATGTGTCGTCCTTAAAATTTTTGTGTTTTTTGTTTGTTTTATTTACTTTTTTGTTTTTTTTTTATGTGTTTGCAAGTTGTATTGTTGTGATGCCTGTTTGTCTTTGTTCATTATATGGGTCATGTTGATACATTTTGTAACTATACACTATTCAATAAAGAAAAAAAAAAGGAAGTTGAAGGCATCAATAAGGGAATCGTTAAGCATGAAGGCAAATGATGTCGATGGATTGAACCAGTTGGAACCGGTTCTCAACTGGAACCGGTTCTCGATACCCATCGCTACTCAAGATGTTCTCATTCAAAATACACATGGAAGGATATTCAAAGCTTCATATTTTCCTCTTCTTCTGTGTTTTATTTGAAGTGTTGATCCATAAGAAGATATATTTGTGGTTTTAAGAACCAAAAACCAAAACGGGTAAAATGAAAGAGAAGCAGCAGCTGAAATCATGTTGGATTACATTTCTGTAAAGAACGGAAGGAGGGAATAGAAATTGATACAAACAGCTGCTATCCTGGTATATTACTGCTGACGGATTACATGAAAAGAGTTATTCATTAAAACTTTGCATTACTGAAGATTTCTGCTGAGATCATCCTGTCACTTTTCACATGATTTTACCTCTCTGTTTCCCACAGTTCCCTCCTGCCTATTTTTCCTGACTTTTAATGTTTAACAGCTGCAGTCCAGTCTAATATGACTCAAGCAGCCAATAATACTTACCTGAGTAGACTGTTATATCTGTTTAAGGAAATACTCTCATCAGTTTTCCAAGTGATTTTTTATACTTCATTTCAATCTTTTTGCTGAGCTCATGACATCAGGTTGTGTAGGATATATATGTAAATATACGTAGTTGTACCAAGATGTTGAACGTGAGCACTAATTCATTGACTTGTTGACTGTAATGTTAAAAAGAGTTTTTCCTCACATGTTTCCTCTGCTGCTGGACCTTCCTGTACACAGTCTCTATGCTGAGACAAGGACATAGTTCTGTCTGTGTCAATGTCCAGGTCTCTATAGACCCTCACCTGCTTCACCACCTAGCCTGAATTTGAATTAATTAATAATCGTCATCATCATCAACATCATCTTCACTGTAACAACAGCGAGAATGATCACAGGAATCAAAGATACTTTGGTAGGGCAGCTTCATAAAAATAATTTAAATAATTCATTTCTATTTTTCTAAATGAGAATGATAGTACAATAACAATACGCCACATCTTAAATGATCCAAACTCACTCCCTCCACCAGAATATTGCAACAGAAGATCAAGATTTCAACAATCTGTTTTTTATTGTTCACCAGCAGCAGCAGCATAGTAATTTGTCTCTAGTTTTATTGTCAGACATTTCACCTTGAGCGGGTCAGACGGTTATCTTCATCTGGGGAGGACGGTTAAGTTAGCAGTTGGTGAGGGATAACTCCTGGGACACAGTGCTCTGAGGTGATGATGGACACCTCTCTTTTCTTCAGTACCTTCTCTGTTGTTCTACTGCCTCTGTGTTTTCACTCTGACCAAATGAATTTTCTTCTTTGGATAGTAAAACAGTAAAATTTGAATTTGAAGTAATAAAATGAATCCTGGGACACTGTGAGAAGAGAATGTACCCTCAGAGGGCACAGCACTTACCATCACTTGAAGCAAGGCCTCCTGGTAAAATGCGTTTGACGTAGACTCCAAACTCCTCTCCAGTTAGCTCCTTCACTCCTCCGATCACTTTGATTCCTGTTGGGAAGAGAAAAATCACTTTCTGAACGGGTTGAAAACATGATGATAACATTAACTCAGAGCTCAGTGAAGCTACCATCACACTGCTACATGTCTGTGTTACAGTTTCACACAGTAGCTGGTTAACTCCAAATGGAACAAATGCTAATCATTGTACATAAATGAATAATAATTACTTGGTACAGATGGGATTTTGAATATTGTGATCTCAGCAAAGAGAGGGGAAGGTCTTCTGTCGGCAGCTGCCACCATATCTGTGTAATGCTGACAGGGGAGGACTTTTTTTTTGGTGGGTGCGGGGGGGTCAGCTCTGCAGTCATTGTCATTCACCAGAACAAGGTGGTTAAAGTTAAAAGAGTTCAAGTTAAAAGACTAGATTTGTATGAATGGGATTAAAAATACTTCCATGGTCAAAATGTTTATTTACTGTATGCGGTAGATTATTATTAGTAGCCTGCATTTTGCTCTAAAGCCAAGTCTGAAAAAAACCTCACTTCAATTCTGTAGCTCAGGTAGCTAATAACTCAAAGCAAAAGCTACTGGTTCAAGTGAAAGAAGTGCTAGATTTTCTGTTGACACAGTGTTTCACCTACGTGTTTAACTACAGTATGAACAGGAGTCCTGACACTAATTCTATTTACAGCTGTACTGTTGGAAATGTCAGAAGGTGTTTGTGGTCGTCACAGCCACAGGATGTAGTTACACTGCACCTCTCTCACTTCCTGTCACACCTGATATCTAAATGATTGAAATGACTGCTCCCAGGTCATTAGTATCAGGGTGACGACTTTGATCTTCTCATAGAAAAATAAATTAACAATATTTTGGTTTGATTCAACTTCCCTGAACTTCTGCTCCACGTCATGTTAGGTTTCTTCTTGGTTACAGATATCACAGAAATCACTTCACAGGGATGTGCTGTATTTATTAGAATAATATACTACTAATAATACAGTAAACCGTAAAGTACAGTGCTCACATGAGGGAGATTCATCACTGTGCATCAGAAGTTTCAGCATAGTAATAATTATAATAAACTTTATATATAGAGCACTTTTCATACAAGAGATGTAGCTCAAAGTGTTTTACAATAAAAAATCTGATAGTACAATAAAGTGAGGGAGAATTCAATTAGACAATATAAAGACAGTAGATGATAAATATGTAAATGAAAATAAAAACAGAAAACAGTAAGAATAGTAAAATATGAGAGACTGAACTAAAAGCAAAGTTAAACAAGGTTCAGCTGTGGTTTAAAAATGTTCACAGAGCATCTCTTATAGCTCTTGGCAGGTTTTCCAGAGTTTTGGAGCAAAGTTTAAAAAAAGCTGCACTGCCTGTTTTCTTTAAAAGCCCTGCAGTAAAAGGTCTGTGTGCTCATGAAGGATTATAAAACCACATAGAATCTGCAGTGTGAGCTGGTCCCAAACCATGAAGAGCTTTAAAAAAAAAGTAAAGGGACCTTAACATCTCTTCTAAAAGATACTGGGAGCCAGTGGAGTGAAGCCAAGCCATGGTAATATGAGCTGTCTTCTTTGTTTTAGTTAAAAGTCCAGCAGCACAGCTCTGAATAAACTGCAGTCTTTCTACTGAAGAGCAGTAAAAGGATCACTGCAATAATCTAATATGCTTTAAATAAAAGCATGAATACGTTTTTTTCAGCATCTTTATGGATTAGGAACGGCTGTACTTTAGCAATATTTCTTAAATGGTCACCTTCTTTATGTTTGAAGTAAAATTGAATTCAGTCTAAAATAATGCCCAGGCATGTTACCTCTGATTTGACTACAGGGGCCAGATGCCCAAGTTTAGAGACAGTAGATCTCTTTTATCTTGGGGACCGACCAAAAGAATTCCAGTTTTGTCTTCCAAACTGTCAATAAAAATCTAGGTGGCAACTGCACCATATTGCTGATGGACTTTGGGTATAAATGATCAGATTCACCACTGGACAAAATGTTTCTATTCATTCTGAAATGTCCCTCCTCACACTGAACAAACCAGAGAGCCTCTGCATCTCCAAGGTCCTCCACATTCACCTTCCCTCACTGTACTGTACAGTGAAATCACTGAAGCAGCTACACTCGACCTTATTTAACTATTAGATCAGACTTCTTTAGCTTAAGGCTGCTGTAACCACAGAGACAAAATGGTAACACTAATTGGGTCTGGAGCGAAGGGGCGCATGTTAATTATTGCCTGTTGGAAGAACGGGGTTATAAAGTTCCTCATCTCAGCCCTTCCTCCCTTCTGACTCTTCTCTGAGGAAAACAGTGTCTTGTTCTTTTGTTCATCCTCAAAGCGTTCTCCTCCCTGCGCCTATCATCAGATAAGAAAAACATCATTCTAATGCACAAGCAGCAGCAGCAGCTAATATTAAAGACAAGCCTCTCTCCCTCTTCTTCAGCTTCACATTCTGTTTTCCAAATCATTTCCATGTATCAAGGCCATTTTCGTCACCCAAAGATTAAATGTTCCACCAGACCTTGCAAAGATGGTAAAATTCAAAGTGATGAAAAACAGCAGTCTTATCTAAAAATGGTTTAATACCCCAGATGATAGAAGAACATGATAAACTAGAATCACCACCTCATGGTTGTTTGCCTCCACCAACCAGTCATGTTGCAGTTTACATCCATGTTTGTCCAGACTCATATAATATATGTAGTGGAGATTTTGAATTTAATAAAAGTTATAATGCTGGTTTTTTATCATAATTAGTGTATTTTTTATTTAATCAGGCAGTCTCAATGACATTAAAATCCAAAGAACAAGAAGTGGTCACAAGAGACAATCAACAACAAAGAGAACACAACTACACAATACAAGAAACTGAGAATTAGCAAAAACATTTACAATAGCAGTAAAAGTCTCCAAGGGAAATGTTGCAGTTCATTCCATTTAAATGGTGCATAGCTATAGTTACATGCATAGGATGCACAATAGTACAGCTGGAGGAAGACAGACATCCTTTATTTCTATACAAGGAGCCAAGTTTGATTTTGAATTTTTGAGTGAAGTGTTGAATATGAACCTTGAATGACAGTCTTTTGTCAAGCCAAAATGCTCAGTATATTGTATTAATCAGTGAGAGTAATATGAGTGACATTTAAAGTTTTAATGGCAGGATGGTCAAAATCAGTGGTGGAGGTGGAGAAAACCATGTATATTTAAGACTAATCAGTTGGAAGTCATCAAAAGCAGACTGAAGACAAGTCAGGGCCTTGGCTGGGGTGGAGCCGGGAGCATATACAATTGTGTCATCAGCAAAAAAGTGAACATTGAAATATTGATTATTGATTATTGACTAATTATGGTATTTTTCAGTTATAGATGCATCACATTTATGAGAATGAGAAGGACAAACCCGTCCTACCATGTTTACTGAACAACACAGAGTCATATCTGGACACCTGAGGACCGAAACTGCTTCTTTAAAACACACTCTACAGATTCAACATGTCCACACAATTAACTGTGACGGAGACGATTTTAAAGTTTCTCTATGAAAACTTTATCCTGCCTATGTGCTGAGGTGGTGCAGCTCTCAGCTGCATTAACAAAGAGATTAGCATGTGCTGTCCTCAGTGTAGGATAGCAGGAGTGTTACAGTGTATATGCTCCCCCTCATGCTGTGGAGGCTTCAGCTGTACAGATGGGGGTCTTATGCTTAGGCTTTATGTATCAGAACAGTGTGTACACTTGAACGTGCTCAAGTTGGACGACAATAAGCTGATTTGTTTCTCACCTGTGTGCTGCTTTTAGTAAACACACACACTCACACACACACACACACACACACACACACACACACACCTTCAACCTGTCCTCCAGCCCGCTCCTCACCTGCTCTACCCTTCACTGCTGTCTTTATGACATTACACTCAGTCTTTATCATCACACCTCAGGCGTTCTTGTATCTGTGATGCAGATGTGGTTTCTAAGCCTGCAGACAAAGTACCACTATCAAGTTCTGAAGGTCCAGTCACACTCTTTTACACTGGACCACAGCACCTGTCAGGAAAAACTCATTTCAAAATAATAGATGTATCTTTAAGTTACATAATGTATTAATATCTGTAGGGCCGAGTTGACCTACATTATATTTACAGTTATTTCTGTCATTTTCTGTCATTTTATCACAGTTATTTCATCATTTTACAGTTTATTCTGTCGTTGCAGTTAGTATAGATCCCATTCTAATGTCAATGTGCTCAGTGCTACAGTTATCACGTTCATTATGATGATGCACTTGTATACAGTACATTGGTCTTATGATTATAATGTCATTCAAAAATAATGGCAGTCACTATAACTCACAGCACACAACACATTTTTCAGCAGGAATGTATTTAAATGTGTTAAATATACTGTCCATTGACAGTATAATACACTACATCTATAAAATGATTCTGTTTATGTTCTAAATCTATGAAATGTGGGTTTAATTATAGTGAAGACTTTTGCTGATGTCCGTATATAGAGGGTGTCTGTATTTTCAGACACTTGTTTATTAGTATGTGTCAGCTTTCAATTCATTGTTTAATGTGCCTCTGAATCAGGGGCAAAAACATCTATGAAATTATTCAGCTCATGTACATCAGTTATTTTAACATCATTCAGGATATATTCACAAGAAGCTACAGATTAGTTCTGAGCAGAGTTTTAGGATTATAAAAGACACAGCACATCCACTTCAGCAGGATATTTTACAGTTTGACTGTAATAACATTCATACATATGAGCATTTTGTTCTTGCGTAGGCACAAGCTTCACCAGAGCGGTGGTGTGGGAGTGAAGTAAGGATAAAAACAACAGCAGCTCCTGCATTCTTAACCCAGCTGAGTTAAGTGGGTTAGGGCTTTGCCACATGACCTACTTCCCCTCCCGGGCAAAAACACAGTAAGGATACCTACTCTGCAGAGAAAATCCCTTTAAAAGTAGGACTTACATTATTTCAGCTATTCAGATCACACTCAGCTGCCAGATAGTGGAGGATGATGTTGTAAGGCTATGCATTATGTTTATTTAACTGGGCAATAATATAAATGAACTGTTTTGCTGAATCACTTAAAATAGTTAATTTTTACCTAGAAAGGATATGCCATGATGCCACAGCCCTTATATCCAACAAGTGGTAGAACAAACTTACTCAGTAAATTGGTAAGTTACAATACCAGGAAGAAAGCAAAGAATATCCTGGAACAACAATGTAAGGCTGAATTTGTTTTTGCATGTTGGCAACTTTGGTATAAGGATGTTAAGAATGTGAACGTCAGGTAAGCTGCTGACCTTTTGGGTGAGCTGGATGTCAAGGGATCCATTACATATCTGGATTTTATGGTTATATTGTTGTTTATAGGTTTATCTACATCCAGAGGTCAGAGATTTAGTAATGCACCCCCTTTTAGGAGGAAATAAGCAATAAAAGTAAAACACAGATGTAAAGGTCTCAAGGTTAACAGATGTTAGAATATTGTATGTTGTTCTGGGTGTTTCAGTGAGAGACTTGGTGTACCCTACATTAGATCTGTCCTTTGTGCACAAATAAACCAGCCAAACTGAAGTGTTGACTTGTTGGTCTGATCTGTACACATTTCCATCATTCGGTTACGAGGAATCATCTTTTCAAACAATGATATATTTGTCCACAGTGGTATGTGGAATTGTAAATGTGGACAGAAATTTACTTTCAAGACTGATTAATAGCTGACAATAGGAAAGTAACTACACCTCTTTAGATTCTTTGCTCTAGCAGGAATAACACCTCTGTTACATGCCTCTGCCCTTCAGAATAAAAGCATATAATTTATAGGATCAGCATTGGATGTGGTCTGGAGTAAACCGAGTTACGCAAGCTGCACTAAATAATATTTTTGCAATAACAATGGATCATTTGGCTGTGTAATGTTAAAGGTGTCACTTGTGGTGTCACAGAGCTGTTTAGCATCTTTCATTGTTTTGGTTTTAAGGCCCACAGTTTTATTTTGATGATTTAGTCTCAGAGGTCTCATTAGCATCTCTGCAGGCAGATCAGATAAACCCAGCGTACACTTCAGCAGCAGACAGTAGGCAGACACAGGGACCAGCTGGTGAGCACAGAGCAGCATTCAGCTGCTAAAGAGCCAGAGCTGGTGGAGACCAACAACAGAGATAAAAGGAGCGTCACTATTGGACATCAATGATAACTCTGCTGTGTCTGTGTTTCAACGGATTGCTAACACGATCACTGTAACAACTTCACAACAGCTTGTTCTGCTTCTCTCAAGTGGCCAAAATGTATTATTGTTAATCAATATTTCTATAAAGCTATTATAGATATGCAGTATCTAACTAGCTTCTCCCACTGTCTGAAACCACTACAGACCACTTTTAAAGTGAGGATGACAAACAGGCCAGCATTTTGTCATACAATCTGTTCGGTGAGTTCAGTGTTTTATCTTCTGTGTGGCATTTACTTGTTCTCCCTGCATCTGTGAGAGTATCCTCTGGGTGCTCCAGTTTTCATCCACAGTCCAAATGCATGCAGGGGAGTTGGAGTAAGTTTTGTCTATGTGTATGTTCAGCTTTGATCATACTTCAGTACGGATGTGGATGCCAAGAGCTGCAGACTTGCACCTGGACAGCGCACACGCCTCTGTACATACTACTCCTTAGCTTCTTTGTTTGTTGATTTTAGCTGAACAGCAAGAAAAAGTCAAAAAAAGAAAATCCTTTGTGCGACTGCTTAGAGAAAATAAGTCTGCATAGTCACAGGTTTTGGGGACAAGGGTCTACGCAGATCCCTGAGTGGACATCTGCACAGACACTCACAGCAACAATGAACTAGTCTTTAGCTTATAGACTAGCAACTGGTTCAGGGAGTACCCACGCATACCCAGCTGCAGTTCCTCTAATGACCACTAGGGTCAATCCCTATAGACTCCCATGTTAAAATGTCCAACTTTACAGCAGATGTTTGAACATGTTTACAGCTGGGTCCAAAAACAGGTTTGGTCTCTAGAGCTAATTTCGTCCTTCATGACAACTGTTTATATAACTCACATGTTTACATTTTATTAAGACTATTAAGTCCTGTATAATTGAGGGCGTGGCCTCTTTGAGTGACAGGTGGATGACCGTATGCTTGCCACAAGCCGGCATGTACCGAGGTCTCAGCTCAACACACGCCCCTCCTCTTTGACTATTTTTGGGTTAGCTTGGATTTAGAGGTGGAGTCAGACACTGCCATGATGGCGACGGTGAGCAGCTCACTCACTTCAAAACTGCACTTCAGAAATCTGTGGGTGACGTCACAGAGGCTACCTCCATCTTTATTGACAGTGTATGAGAGTACACTTTCTTTCACCTAATGAATGCTGCATGTACCCCAGCCCCTGATAACCATGACCTGTACAGGCATGTATAGACCACAGATAGTGAAAGGGACAGAGAGGACACAGTACTTTCAGGAACAAAAGTTTCTACATGTTTACCCTCTATTCTCGGTCGCTGAGGAGAAAGAAGTGACTTACCCAGGCCATTCTCACAGTCTGTAAACTCCATGGAATGAACAGCTCGGTCTACTCCATATGGACCCATTAGTGTCCTGTTAGAGATGGAGGGATGAAGAAGAGAGGGAGAGACAAAGACAAAAAATAAGTACAACACAAACTTAATCTTGAGAGATAAATGTGCTTTTCTTGTTTTTTTCAGACTGGGCTCTTTGGTTGTTAAGCTACACACTGCTCACTTCACTGGAGTTTGACCTGATGATGAATATTGAGCCTTGTGTCGGTCTCACACAGTTTCTCCTGCAGGTTGGGGATTGATGGCACTTAACAGAGCATTGTCAGCCATTGAAAACAGGCAGTGTGCCTTCGTGTCCGCTGCTGACATTTCCTTGTACAAATCAGTGACTGGATGAAAACATGTGACTGAATGGTATTTTCACATTCATCACTGTGTCATGTCCGGTACAGAAATATGCTGAAGCAGGTTTGTTTCCTCTTTTTGTGTAAACAGCTGACAGTGAAAGTCTGGGGGTAGTAGATGTGCAGCATTTCAGTTTTTAATATATTTGGTCTTTATTCATTTATTTTTGTGCAACTGGCAAAGATTGGTTCAAAACACAGATAACACAACATAATAAGTGACAAGATACAATCCTCTTGACAGTTTCTGTTTCGCCCGTGTAGAGTAAATGGTGTAATCCCTGGACAAATACAGTAAATCTCTCTGGTGAGACTACTGTTCTGTTGACATGTCTGCAATCATTTCCTGGGAACTGGAAATGTTGTACACACCTCTGGATGTACATCTGAAGAAGAAAGATTCACAACATGTGACTCTTCCATATACATTTTTAACACAGGAGCTACTCAGCACTGAGCTCTGAATTGAGGAAAAATATTCAGTTTGTAGCCGTGTTGAAAAGGAATTTCAGTGCTGGTCTGTGTGTGCAGCTGCCACCTCAGACAACAGTCACCATCCACAACAATAATAATAAAAACAACCATATATAGTTAAAACAGTGTCAACAGCAGAGGCAATGCCAATCTTCCTGCTGACATGTCTCATATCTAACACGCTCATCATCAGATCTACCTGAGCCAAATCTGGAGACGCAGCATCTCTGCTGGAATGTTTTGTATTATTCTTAGTTTTATTTACCTCATAGTGATGCAGAGTGTGTGTGAAATGTGACCTATAACTGTAAAATATATTATACAAACAATATTTTTATATAAAAGTTAATCCAGTCTATGGAATAGACACACTGTAGCTGTGTCCTTCAGATGCGGCTGAGAAATGTGCCCGTCTCGTGATCCTTCATGGCCAACCTATCCCAAGATTCATATGGTGAAGATTACCCTTTGGGTTTCAGCTCTGTTAAAACAGCACAGAAGAGTACAACTGTGAAAACCAAGGGCCTTAAAAAAAGTTCTTGTAAATAATACATATTGTCAAGGTTGCTAGGTACAGCTGGTGACGCAAAGCAAAAATCCCCCATAGACCAGAACATCTCATTTCAATTTGGCCTCCGCGGTCCACAGTGGCCACAAAGGGCCACACCTTTGAGGACAATGTCCTCTGAAGCGTGAATCACAGAATTGAGACACAGCTTATTTCTTACTTATTATAAATATGGTGCACCAATAAAGGCAAATAAAGCTTTTGTTCACATACTGTCTTTGGTGTTTTACTCATATTCACTAATGTATGGTACAGAACGATTGCAAAAATATGTATATCAGTTTATCAGGAACACCTGGCTAAAAGTAAAGCAATCTGATCCAAAAGTCCTGCATGAAGGTGATAATTTTCAGTTTGTGTTGAAAATGATTCAAAGACATGTTTGTGGGGTGTCGTGTGGCGTAGCGGTTCTAAGCAGGGACCCCATGTGTAGAGGCTACAGTCCTCGCTGCAGTTGGCCCCGGTTCAAGTCCTGCGTCGGACGGCCTTTGCTGCATGTCATTCCCCCTCTCTCTGCCTCCCCATTTCCTGTTTCTCTACTGTACTATCAAATAAAGGCATAAAAAGCCCAAAAAATATACTTTAAAAAAAAAAAGACGTGTTTGTTGGGACAGGAGCCACAGCAGAGTTAGCATGGAACAGCTAACTCTGTGAGGAGAGCAAAGGAGATAACAGCAAAGCAACACAGCCAGACAGGACTTTACTCCACCAGGAAGCCTCTCAACCCACTGGACTTAACAACAACACTGGAAAGGACCTCTTTGTTTTTGATCCAAGGACTGGGTGACGTTAACTGACTGGGCCTAACTAACTAACACAGCGTAGCACAGCACAGCTAAGCAGCCGAAGTCTAAACCTTTGTACATGTACATGTTGGTTAATGTTTTGTGGTTATGTTTGCTTAGGTTGTGGTCAGTCATACAGTTAATCGGGTACTTGTATGTTCACACACATACCTGTGGTACGTCTCAGTTCTAGAACCTGCATGAAGCTAACCTCCTCCCTCTAACCTGGTACCTTTAGATTACATGAGCTAGGCTGACAAAGAAACTCACACCTTCCCTCCCCCACACACCAGGTGGTCTCAGCGGCCATTTTGAGTAGTTTCTTGTTTATCACCATCTTGTTTAGTCTGCCTTGCCAGCAAGACATTTTGAATCAGCCATTTTGCCTTTTTCTGTCCCCGTAGACCCCCCCCCCCCCCCCCCCCACCCCCCCCCCCCGCCCCCCCCCCCCCGACCCTTCCACACACACACAAACACACACACCTTTACTCAGTAGAATTCCTTAACTTTACTTACTGTTGATATTGTAATTTGATTATAGTTATTAAGTAAATTATTAATAAGAGTTCCAGATTAATAGTAATAATTTGAGACTGAACCAATATTGGCTATTTTGCTTATTAGTTTAGGTTGGTGCCCCTGAAGACTTTAATTCATTATTCATTATTGTTATTATTTAGTATCAATATTTTTAACATTAATATTTTCACCTCATGAGGCCGAGCTCAGACCCAACATGTTGATTCAACTGTCTGATCGTTTTGAAGGATTTAGCCTCTGACACTGTATTATACTAACCAAAAACAGATTCAGACATCAAAGGTTTCATACATCCCAAACCTAGGGAACCAATCCTGTCAACTTGTGGGGATGGGAGGCGGGGCTAAATAACCTGAAACCTTGTCAGTACAGAGAGTGAGATTTAGCATTAGCACAACCACTAACACTGTGTTAGCCACTGTCAGCTACAAGCTAACAAACAACATTGTGGCGTCCCTCCCATTGTTTTGGAGGTTGTCCTTGCCCACATTGGCAGGAACTTTGATGACATGGGAGGGTCGTCAGCTGATGCTGTTCACCTGGGTCTTCCAGACTATAAAAGCTGGGCCCCTTCCATCTGATCTGTTGATATCATCTTTTGCTTTTTGCTTTTGCACATACAACACCTCCACAGCACATGTAGCACTCATCCATGCACTGCTTTCATGGCTAATCTTGCTGATTTCCACACCTCATTGGTTATTTGTCTCATTTTTTAGTTTAGTAATAAATTGTTTGTTTTTTAGTATAACTTTGTTATTGTCACATTCACTGAGTCAGTTTGTGACAACTTAAAATAACAGATGTTAACTTCACTAACCGTTCTGATCCATCTGCTAGTCTCTGGTTCTGGTCTCAACAGGATCCTCATCTGAGTCTGAGTCTGACTGAGGCTCAAACATGTGGCTGAGTCTCTCTGATGTTTCCTCCTCTAACCATCTTGCTACTCTCTGCTCTTTCACCTGGAGCAAGCAGGAGGTGGGCGGGGCTCAAAGCCTGATCCAGATTTCTCAATCAGGACATAAGAGTAGATGGGCTTCATACCCAGTTTTGTATTTGTTTGAGTTGTTTCCAACACTTTTTATGTTGGAAAATCATGTTAAACAAAATATGAATCATAGCAGAGGATTTTCAGAGTTTTTTAAGTTGGTCATACTAATACCCCTCTGCCTCCATTGACCCCAAACAGAGAAAATATGAAAAAAAACCCAACTTTGCAGCTATCTCCTGCAAAGCTTCCAGATAATAGGTGAACAGAACAACATCACAAGACCAAATCACAGTATTCAAGTTGAAAAGAAGAAAGCAAAACAACCTGCTATACAATTAGCAACAAAGAGCAAGAGAGCTATATCATAGTTCTGTACAAAGATATAATGAAGATGCTCCTCTAATAAAAAAGAATTAAACAGCATTTGTCATTTGTTTATCTGACATGACCACGCCAGCGGAGATGGATGAGACTACAAAGCTTTTTGGCTAACAGGTGCCCCAACCCTGCCAAATAGATTAAGTAAGGTTAGATTGCTTTATTTGTACCTGTAGGTAAATTTGGTTTGCAGTAAAGAGAGCCATAGGTCATGTACACACACATTTAACACACAGCACAGACAACACCATGTGCACAAGGTAAATAAAAATAAATGAATTAATAAATTAAACATTGCTTCTATGCAGTGTTACTACAACTTATAGTTAGTTCTGACCGAGTAGTTTGATTGGACGAGTCATTCCATGAGTGCGGATATAGAGTATAACAGCACTGGGACTTTTAACGACATGTATCACTCTGCTTCACGTGTTTGATTGACCATTAATCAGCGTTACATTAATGGTCGTTGATGATATTTGGTCATCAGAAGAGGATGAAGGGAAGGGAAGAATACTTCGGCACACACCTGAGGTAGATGTAGACAAAGTAGCAAGCTAGTGTGCACTGTGCATATCAGGAAAATATTTTTGTGTTGCTTAGCAACAGTCAAGTACTTGTCCAGTTGCGGAACTATTTGTGTTGGCATTGACATGGTATCTCCATAACGCCTTGGCACAAAACTGGGCACAATTTGGCACAAACATCCACTAGGACTCAAGGATGAACTGATTAGATCTTAGTGGTCAAAGGTCAAGGTCATGGTGACCTCACAAAATACAGTTTCAATATAATTTCACACAAATAGCTCATATTTCATATGACACTGGATAAACAGGGATGTAACCTGAAGTAGTCTGAGTGAAGGAAGCAGACAACCACAAGGAGGTGATTCTTGTTTCAAACTTGTAGTCTTCAGACCCATCCGACACTGACTCAAGTCACATCCCTCCAGGACTAAACTCTGATTGATTGATATGTCCATTTACCTTCTTTACACTTTTCACAGATGCAACTAACCACTTACTTGGAAATGATCTTTTACTGATTTGCACATTTTAAGATATTTAGATTTGAACGCTCTCCTGACTTTTTTGTGAGTGGTCCAATATAAAAATGTAGGAGATTTCAGGTAAACACTTAGAGGATCCAAATCCTGCAAGGCTGGATGGTGGGTCCAGTTGGCAGGTTATCTATAGATATATATCTATATATCTATAGATATAGATATATAGATATATAAGACCTTTAAAATAAAGCAAAGTCTACTAGTGAGGCTTCATCAGTGCATTCTGTATGTTTATAGATTCATCATCCTATTTTTATTAGGCCTGAAAATGTCAATAAATTGCTTTACATACACAAACACCTTTAAATGAGACAATATGAAAAAAAAAAAAAAAGCATCTTGGTCAGAGTTCACACACTGTACAGTAATCTCCAGTAGATGAAGTTGGCAGAAATTATTGTAGTCTTATGTAACAGTACTGCACAAGAACCAACCTCTCTGGTTTTGCCCAGTTTTCCTAATCCATCAGACATTGGCTCAAGTAGCAATTAAAGAACATTTGCTCAGATGGTGCACTACAATATATAATGTATACTGGAGATTAACAAGAGGAAGCAGCGCAGACTTACAGGTAATAGCTAATTATTATTAGCAACAATTAGTTAGTAAATTTAAGAGACTGTTGTGTGCATTTTGGGAATCTGGAACAATCTCTTCCCTGCAATGACACTAACAGGTCCCTGTTTGCTTGCCGCCCGAATGACAAGACGGGTTATCAATATTTCATTTGCAGAGGGTTCACCAGCAGCAAGCTGACATTCCCTCCTGTCACTGAAACAATGAGGCAAATTGAGGACGCAATGAAATTCGAATGAAAACATTGTCCTTGTGAATTAAAGCAGCAAAATGTGAAGACAGAGAGAAGAGTCAAGCATTATTTTTCTTCACTTTCTAGCTAGTCTTTGATATATATGCATGTTAAATCTTGATAGTCCCCCAGTATATGTGAATCTTAATTAAAGATACAATCAAAAATTTTAATTGTAAACAAGCTTTCTCTCTCTCTCTCTCTCACACACACACACACACTGTTGTCATCTTCTTCTCCTTATTACAGTCCATTAATATCGACACCTGCTGCCAATGAAAAATTAGAAACATGTATCACCTCTCTCCTCTGTTACAGCTGTCGTCTTGCAGAGCACGAGGTACAAACAACATAGCAGCTCTCCAACGTCAGGAGTCTAAATCCCCTGAGTTCATCTTGTGTTTTTCTATATTTCAAAGAAGCAGGCACCTGATGACCGAGTAAAACTGTTAAAATCTAATATTGTTGATTCTCACAACTGTTAGGGGCTGCATTTTAATGAGAAATAGTATTTTCTTTAGTTAAAACAGAGACTCTTTGACCCTCATCCAGTGGTTCTAGTCCTGTCTGATGGGATGATCCTGTATATCCACTCCCTTTAATCAGGAGGATTTGGCACCAGAGCTGTAAACACAAACATGAGCCAAGGCTTCCTCCTTAATTTTCTTTATTAAACCTTTGTGTTCTGGCAAAAATCCTGAGTTTCAGGTGCCCACCACTATGTTGCTATGTTGACCAAGAATATTGTCATGTCAAGACTCCAGATGCCTCCAATGGGAAAAGTTGGCCATTAAATACAGACACCATGAGGTAAACTCATCCTGTTCCCAGGCATCATTTCAACATTCAATGTGTTGAGTGATGCAGGGTCATGAGGTCAAAATAATTAAGAAGACTTCATTTTCAGTGAGTAAAAGCATTTGGCATTTAGTATTTGTATTATATCTTTAGTCTGATGTTAGTCGGACTGACAAAAAATAAAGACTGACTCATTTTAAGCCAAAAATATTAGACACGTTACCTCCAGGCTAACTCAGGCCTAAAACCAATGTTACCATGGTAACAATCAGTAACACCTGTGCTGACCAGTAGCACCCAACAACAAAAAAACAGGAAAACATGGCTCATAATGTGTGGTGATAACATTGTTATGGAGAGAGCAATCACAAAAAAACAAGAGTTTTTAGAGAGTGAAGAGATTTCTTTTTGCAAATCAGTTTTTTCTTAATTGTTTCACTCTTCACTGAATTTCCAAAGTAAAACGTCCTTGTAACTACAGATTTCTTCAAAAAGACAAGCATTTTCTTCTGGGGTAAATGGAGCTGAGCTGTCTGTGAAACCAGCCCATGTTCTGACCTGTTCAGAAGCCTCACACTGTCTCCACTGAGAGGAAACAGCAGTATTTTCCATCAGTTTAAGACAGTAAACTGAACTGACAACAGCAGGAGAGACAAGGTAATCTCTAATTCATTTGTAATTCAAAAACCAAAAACATCTAAATCTGCAATTAGTTTTATAATCCAAAACGGAAAAAAACATTTTTGGTGTCAGAATAAAAAAAAAAAAAAAAAAGCAAATCAAAATGTTCCGTTTTTGGCAAATCTTTTTATCATCATTTAGTTTGAAATCAAAAACCTAATTCATATGCTTGTATTTGATTTTTAATTCTAAATAAGATGGTCTGTTCGTTTTTTGTTTCCAAAAAAAGCCAGGAAATATATTTAAAAAAAAAAAAAACAGTTTTGATTTTGGCAAATTCATTTTTTCATTTCCCATCTGGCAGAGACCGTAGATCCGTGGACAGACAGGAAGAGGCCAAAAAAAAAGAAAAAAAAAGCCAAGCACATGAAAGTGAACATACAATCAATAACAGGGTTAAGTTATATTTTTTTCGTTTTTAAATTACAAATGAGTCACAGATCATCCACAGGATGGAAATGAATGTAAAAACCAAAGACTACCAGCTCTCCTTGCGCGAGACGACAGATGGAGCGGGTCTGTTCTGCCGGTGAATGGGTCTCCACTATAACACACACACACACGCACGCACACGCACATGCACGAACATACACACAAACACACAGTCTTTGTGTTGATAAATAATTAGTTCCTCCTCACACACACAAACACATTCCGACAAAGCACTTCCATTGAGAAAAGGCATGACCTGCAGCACCGTGTTTCCCGCTTCACCGAAACAGTTTGGCGCGCGAGCCCTTCTTCAATTCCCCCGTTTTTACCGCGTGCAGTCACCTTTCCATTTCACCTGTTCTTCTACAAACAGAAGCCGTGAACATCAGATCATCAGGCCACCTCCGCCACAACACACAACACAACAAGTATCCAGACAGCAGCGTCGACCCGGGTCTCACCACACACACACCTTTACCCGGCAGTTCTCCGTCTGTTTTATTACCTGCTAATGATGACAGCTCCTTTATACATGACTGAGAAGGTTGGCATCTTGACATGGAGCCCGCTTCTCCGTTCGGACGGTCGGTCGGTCGGAGCTTCCCCAGCCTTCAGCCCTCAGCCCTCAGCCACATGATGGTCTGTCTACAGTCAGCCTCTAATTCCAATGAAGCGCGCTGTCCGCTCCAAACATCTCCACCTTCAACCGCACGGTTAATCTCTTATATAACCACAGCCGCCGAAACATTTAAAAAAAGGCGCAGAAAGCAGCGAGACTGTAACTGATAGTAACAGGTTTATCATCATCATCACGTTTCAGACGCCACCTGACACCTGTCTCTGCTGCTGCACCACAAGTGTGTATTTTTTGCTGCAAACAAGCGCTGAAGTTGCATGAGCAGCAAAACCTTTTCATCTTACAAGATTATTGTTCTTATCATTCAGTTACATTAAGTGTGTGCAATATTTTACAAGCTTGAAAAAATGTATCTGCCTGGGTTTATTTGACATTGTTGCATACCATTTTATCTAAACTTAAATCTTTTAGTATTATCATCTAAAGCGTTTAAAAATAACAACACAGTCATTGAGGATAAATGCATCTATAGGCTACACAAAAGGAAACATTTGGGATGAAATATTTCCTCTGCCACAGCACTGCTACAACTGCTTATTGTGCCAAAGAGAATTGAAACAGCAGGAGGGGCTTAGATGCCTTTAAACACATTAATGCATAAGTGCCCCACTCTCCATTTAGAAACAGCAATTTAATCCTCAGTTGTCATCCATTACGTAGAATTGTCATTTGTCATTCAAGTCCGTGAGCATCTGTTTTATTGCTGCCAGTTCAGGCTACAACTTGTGATTTATTGTTCTGTCAAACAATATTGATTATTTTTGATAAATGAATCAATATTATTATTCTATAATTTTTTTAAAAAAAGATAGAACACTTCCCATAGAGGTAAACACTGATGATTATTTATGGTGCTAAATTTTTCTCAGACAAAACTATCTTTATTTTTCAGATCTCCAGTCTGATTTTTTTTCTTTTAATTTATTGACGTCTTCAGGCCTCAAAAGAAAAACAAATATAAATCTATAAACATACAGAATGCAGTGATGAGGCCTCACCAGTAGACTTTGCTTTATTTTAAAGGTCCATACAGTCTAAAGGTAGATGTCCATGTGTTGTTTGATTATAAAGCAGGTCTAGGTTCTATATTAATACTGTGAAAGTATCAAAGCGCTCCACAGAGAAATGCACACAGCCTGTATTCAGAAACTGAGCATTAAAGGTCACATATTATGCAAAATGCACTTTACCATGATTTTCTATCAGTAATATGTGTCCCTGGCCTGTCTACAAACCCCCCAAACATAAGAAAAATCCATCCTCTCCGTCTTTTGCTTGCTCCACCTTTCAGAAAATGTGTGCTCGCACAGGCCAATTGGAGATTTCATGTCTGAAATCTCCAAGTCTTCATGTAGGGAAATAACACCTCCCCCAGGTGGGTGTCATTCACCGAGCTAGGTGTGTGTTCCGCCCTCTGAGTCTGTTTTGCAGCCGCTATCGTTAATTCCCTGCATCATGGGTCCAGTAAAACTATGTCGAAGGTACGAGCGAAGCACGCTAGTTGCTCTGTTATTGACTGTACAAACCAACACAGAAGTCCTTTTTACCCCCCTTCATCTGAGGATCTGAAGACCCAGTGGATTCATTTTATTTTTGATGGAAATGTACCCACTTCAACTCCTAAAGTGTTGTATGTGTGTGCTAACCATTTCACATCGGACTGCTTTTTCAACAAGGGCCAGTACAATGAAGGATTTGCTACAAGTCTGAAGATAAAGCTTGGATCAGCACCGACTGTCCAAGACCCAACTTCAAACTTGGGAGCTGTAAGTTTTACCATTTTATGTTCTTACTGTATGTACACGAGAGCCTGTTGCATGTGTTGCTAGTATGGTAGCTAATTAGGCACAAAGCAGTATCCTGTATGATTGCACATAGTGTGAGTAACATATGAAAGATGCTTGGTGTGCTTACAGTTACAGTGTATAGCTGTGAGACTATCGGTACCTCATACTTACTGATTTTGAAATGCTGCACTTGATACCACTCAATTGAAGGCTTTTTTAATTAAAAGAAATGTATTTTGTATGCACTGTAGGAATTTCAAAGAAACTGGAGAAGATCAGCCAGATGAAAAACTGTGGCCGGGCCAGAGTGAGTGGCAGAGTGGACCTCGATCCTCAACCATGTCTAAGACATTCATACATATGAGGATCCTCTTTTCCCCCAGTGTCAACATCCATTACACGAGACAAGGACAAAAATAAATGGCTTTCAGCAGGTGTGTTACTAATAAACAGACTAAAACCTCACCACATGACTCCTGTTATTATAGTTAGTGATCAGAAATATTGTAAAAAGGTAACCCCATCTAGTGAACTTTTAGTAACTGTCATTATTAATTATTACTGTATTGTATTTTAAAATATATTGTTGTTTTTAGCATCTCCTGCCTTCTACAAGCTGGAGAAGGTGCTGACGAACAAAGGACTCTGAAGGATGTCGCGAGACTGAGCCCCCACCACTGTCTTTCCATTTCTTGGAATGCTGTGCAGGTAAATGAAGCTGTGGTTACTTAGAACTTGTGAGAGTGTGGAGGCTAAGGTTTCTGTCAACATTAACATCTTTGATTTTCTCTTTACTGTACCTCCAGACTCTACCTGGCTGCCATGTACTACAATGAAAATGCTGACCGACCACAAGCCCAAACAAAAGAAGGTGAACCACTGTTCAAGGTCCAATTTCCAAAGGCTATGAAGGGAGAATGCAGAGCTACACCAGTTAAGACTGAGCCGACATTCTATAAGTGTTATATTATTTTATTTTTCAACCAAAAAATGTTTTGTACACATTGTATTAAGTATTGCACGTATAATGTTATGACAGTTCCACCAACAACAAAATACAGTAAAGAAAAATCAACATTATAAAAATAATAAATTAGATAAAGTGACTAATGTCATGAGGTAGTTGTCATGGTTTTGTAAAAAACAACAAAAAGATTAAAAATGTAAACAATATCAGGGAATGTGGTGGACCTCATATTTGAAAAAGTCTTTGTTGACCCGGCACCGTACGCGGAAGCTGTTTTGGCCATCCCCATCCCAGAGGACCTCACTGCACAGTTCGAGTGGCCTGAGAAGGAGGAGGTCATATCCAGCTATGTGTCCCAGTTCTATCATGGGGCAGTCTACCACTTGCGACCACGCAGGCTGGAATGACGACCCAGATTCTGCGACCAAGGAAGCCCCAGCACCAGCCCGTAAAGCTCCTATAGGCTAGATACCTGTACCGACTAAAACAACTGGACAGGGCATTTAGTCTTGCAAATATATCTATGTTGTGTCTCACAATTTTTCATATGGACCCAGTGAATCCTACAGCTTTTTTATTATCACTGATTATAAGTGCCTCATTTGATGTAAATAAATGCTTAATCGTTTCTAAAGAAATGTCTCCTCTGAATTCATATATTATATGCACACTATCTGCTGATAGAAAAACTTTACTAATCAAAGAACAGTTACACCAATTTATCTAGTGAGAATGCTACCTGTGGTGTCTCCTAGCAGCAGATATTCTCAGCTTCTGTGGGCATGGTTGCACAGTTTCCACAGGAGCACCTATCCAAAAAAAAAGAGAAAATGATAACATTCACCAAAATATAAAGCTTAAGAAATTCAAAAACTGACAAGACAGTGGACAAGCTGAGGTAGACAAGAAGTAAGCTTGGCAAAATATCAAGCGCATATAACAGGCAATTTATAACATTTCACTTGTTGCATGTAATGTGGAGCTTGAGAACAGTGTAGTGTAGAAAACACTGCACACAGCCTCGTCTTTAACTAAAGATTAATGTTGCTGACAGACATGTTTATGCTGAATTACAGCGGTGTAAGTTCATTGTAATACACAATAAATTACTACATAAAGGAAGATGTTATGATGAGCATCGCTGCTCAAAACATGGAGAAAAAGTAACAAAATAAAAATGATTTACTTTGTCAGCATCTATTAAAATATCTGTCTAGTATTGACATTGAACACCTGTAGCAGTCCACATACAACAAACATTTTCATAGACTGTAAAAGTATATCTAAGGAGGCATGACAGATAACTACATTACACAATTCACAATAGTGCTTATTTACCAAAAGAGCTCCCAGTAATGACGAGACAGTAACAGTTAGCATTAGCTACCTAGCTACATGTTAGTAATTGTGTGCCAGCACACATCAACAAACTGAAAATGTAAAGTCAAAATACACAAAATTAGTTACCAACCATTCAGAAACGTCCTGCTGCAGTTGTACAGTTTGAACTTCTTCAGCAGCCTCTCCCTCTGGGTTAGATTCTGGAACAAATTCGTATGGTTGAACCAAAGCGCTTCTGATGCCAGCCATATCGCCGGTCACGGTCACCGTAAACATTAGAGCATGGTGCCAGAAGCCCAAGCCGCATCCCCTTCCAAAGAGGGGCGTGGTCAGGCACAGCTCATTTGCATTTAGAGCTACAGACACAGAAACAGCCTGTTCTGAACAGGGCTGAAACAGAGGGGTTCAGGCGTGCTGAAATAAAGGATTGGAGTGGATTTCTAGCAAGAAACTTTAAAAGACATGTTTTGGGGACGTCTGAGACTTATTTAAACTTGTTGAAACAGAGTATAATACGTGCCATTTAAAACCAGCCATCAGGACTTCTGGAACTTTGTGATGTCACAACAAAGGACCCACATCCAATGTTGCAGGGATTTGGTTTCTCTGAGTGTTTACCTGAAATTTGCTATTTTTTTATAGAATCACTAGAGCAATCAGAAGAGAGGCTCAGAGATGTTAACTACACTGAGATGGTTTTTTGGTTCTTAAAACCACAAAAACATTTTCTTATGATCAAACACGCAAATAAAAACACACGAGAAGAAAAAAATATATATATATATATATATATATATATATATATCATAAAGCTTCAAGG